TTCAAGATGAAAAAAATCATGATTTATAACAGTGTATTAGTATTATTGAACTATCGAAATTCGTTTTATATTCATTTTATTGAACATTCCATAGGATAAAGACGAACAAACCCTAAAAATCGAATAAAGAGATAATAGAATATAATAATAAGAGTGAGTGATCTCAAAATTAGGCGGTCAAAGACGTTATTTTTTTCATCGGCTGTGGATGAATTGAGGTAATTTTTATGAACTTTACGAAACTTTCAAATGGCCTCATATCATTCGACATTGGAACTGAATGCAAATTAGTGGAAATTGACAGATAATTGACGAATTCGTCATGAATCGTTGGATGAATTTTCCGAATGCCAGTTGGATCGTTTGGAATGATGATCAACGCGTCAGTAGTTTGTCATACGAGTGGGGAATACGGACGTCCGTAGGGTAGCGAGCGGTGAACATATCACACGCCTCGAACGCCCATTTCGCATTTGTATTGCAGACTCGTGTTTTGGAACGAATGCATGCAAATATCGACGTTTATGTTGTGAAAACTGTCCCTTGCACTGATTGAAAATTTCAAGATACAGCATTTCTCGATATATTTAGGGTAGACTACACTCAGAGAAAAAAAAATGTTCTCAAACACGTCTTCATTGAACCAAAAGAATCGCAAATTGAAAATTATTAAGGATCAAAAAAGTCGTGCTGAACATTGAAGGATGTCCTGAGATGAGCAATTTTTTTTTGCAAAAATAGACTTAACTGTTTAACAAATTGTTACACTCTTTTCGCAGCTGCAAACGAAAAATCTTATTTTTAGCACTATCTACTCATTATTCTACACTAACATGCGTATTTTTCTCCCGAAAAGTGTTCACTCTCCGAAAGAAAGAAAAGTTTTTCCTTTCGGCTGTCCAATGCACAGAGATAAGAAATTTATTCTTAAAGATAATATAACAATGATGATATTATGGCAACTCTGTAAGTTGGGAACAAAATACTTAATGAACTTTAATACATGAGAGAGGCTTCCATCCTGAAAGAATAGCATCTCACGGGAATGATCAGTCTCTAGAGTCACGAAATTTCTTTGTTGAAATCCAAGCAAGGATTTTTGGTTCTCGAGTTTCAGAGCGACTTCTTTTTTTTTCAATTCGATCTCGTTATATTTTTTAAAAGGGGCAAGCACTATTCCTCAGATTTCCTTGGTTGTAAAAAGACTTATGAGAGAACATGATTTTTTAAATCGTTACAATCCAATCGTTTTAAATTATTCAAGTCCATCCTAAAATCAATCCAGTAAAAATTTCGAAAATGCTTGGAAATTGGGGAAATGTAAGCGATCATTGTCATGAATTTTTCATTCATTCGAAGGGCAATACCATTCGATGTTTGATTTCCCCGATGAATTAAAAAAATCAGAATATCATCGGAATTTTTATAACTGTCAAATACGAACGAAATCTTTTTCCTTCGCATTTCCAGTATGAATAAAATCATGATTTATCGAGTGCCCCAAAATCGTCGCATCCCTCAGTGGTCACGACCTAAAAATCAATATTTCCATGCATATGTGGACGAAAAATTGCGTTTTACACTTTCTCTCAAATATTTACGCCGCACTGCCGTTATTGTAATAAGATAATTGTCATCGAGTGTTGAAGTAAAATGCGAATGAGCAATTGACTAATGCGCTAATCATGGCAAAGATTGTTGAAAAGAAGGGTAATGGACATAAGTAAATTGTTGAAAAAATTGTAATGTGTATTATGTATTATGAGCTTTACTTCGAAATCACTGGAGATCTTGGTATTTTCTTCAATTAATCACAGAATGTGAAAACAACAGGGAAAGACCTGAGTAAGCGCAATGTGTTCCCCATAAAACAATTTTGTGATAACTTCCATTTTTTTGGGGTACTCTTTAGTCGCTAGTTTTCAAATTAATTTTTCAACGATTGTAATTAAGAATTATCAATTTTTTAGTAATAAAAAGTGGATGAAACTGAATGAGTACAATTATTTTCCTTTTTAGTAGTTGGAGAAATATTAAAAACAGAGTAAGCAATACCAATTTTATTATATATATATATATATATATATATATATATATATATATAT